AATTTCCCAATGAGCACAAGTGATCAAAGTAAAAAATAAAGAACTTTTTTTCTGTGAAGTTCGTTTTTTTTAGAAAGCAGATAAGCAAATCTGCCAATTTCTTAGTTCTTACGCAGATTCATAGTTTTTTCAAAATTTCTTAATTTGAGAGACTTGCAGTCGAAGATGGACTTAAGAAATTCTGCACCCCTCGAAAGCCGAACAAGGAAGCCTTCGGAAAATCCATGACTACTACGCTGGTCCATAAAAAGCCTCTATTTCAAAAATTTAACCCTAGACCAATCTACTTTAAATAATTTTTGTAAAAGGATTCCTCACAAACATTTGATGAGAACTTGAAGCGCAAAAACGCTTCTTCATTGTGAATCCCTTTCACCTGTGAAAATAAGGTAGTAGTTTACTATAAGCGACCGAAAAATCAACTGCGTATTTAGAAAATTATGCATACCGACTGTATGGTTAAGATAAGATTTGCTAACTTTCCAAGTGGAGATGAGTCAATAAAAAGCAAGCAAGTTTTAAGTAAACATCACCACTTTGACGAGAGAAAATTAAGAGAGGCCCTTCAGGATGACCTAAAAACAGGTTTGAGCAGCACAAATCAAAAACTGGACTTCAGATTAAAAATCCTCTCTCTGTGTGCAGTAATAAACAGAAAAAACCTTGGAAGAATGAGCCCATCATCAGCTCAACCAGTCTTCACGATTAATGTGTATCCAGCACGACAAACCTTTTTTTCACCGATTTGAAATTGATGCATTTTCGGATCAAACTGTCAATTGTAACAAAAAACTTATATAGCACAATGATTAGAAAAGGAGCAAATACTAAGTAAATGTCAATCGCTTTTTAGTCTGATAACAAGGCCTAATCTCCACCAGCATCACTTAACAATTAAAGTTTGACGGAGCATCTAGATGAAGACTTCTTCAATGCTGATGAAAGCATTGATTGCGAAAATCACTCCTAAGGAATGAGAGAGTAAATGAAAACTTGGAATAAATGCGCCGAAGGCTTTCAAAGAAAGAGGACTGGTTGTTACCAATGGTTGCCAGATTACATGTTTCAAATATTTAGAGAAAAAGTTGAGGCGATTGAGTACGAGGCCTCGTTAACGTACCTTACTCTTTAGGACTTTCTACTAATGTCTAACACTCCTTTAGAAATATCCATTTACTCGTTCTTCAAAATAAATTTGTGTGATTAAGGGACATGTGATGACTGCTTATGACAATTTTTTGACATCTGGAACCCAGTGGAATGCCAAAACCAATATCACGGTGGTAATTTTGTAATGCCTCTTACGGTCCTTACTTCAACAAGGAATCCCAAACAAAAGTAAAGTTATAAAGAGTCGAAAAAAAAATCAATCAATCTTTATAAGCCAACCCAATATTTTTTCACGGACGAAAAAAATATTCAGACAGTTAACTATGAAGAACGCACTCCCCATAATTTAATTCACGAAACGTGAATTCCCAATCACAGTGACCTGGATTTACGAGAGCGGTCTAATGCTTTATGTGACTTACTAGAAATAAGTTCACTACAGCTGACACTTTGAGAAAGCCTGATAACTATGCCATCCTAATGAAGTGATACAGCCTAAACTTTTTAAAATTGAGAAAACAATGTCATTATCAACAAGTTCTTTGTTTTGCCTCGTCTACCAATCTGATATCTTGAGAGATCCTGGAAAAATAGCGCCTATATTTTGACAAAAATCTCAGAGTTCGAAAGAGAATACAACACACTATAAATTGCTTAAATTTTCCCAAAAACTCGCGTCAGGACCAGTGGCATTAGAAAATGCGAATTTGATTGAGAAAAAATGTCGTAAGAAAAATAAAATTGAAATAAATAGAATCTTTAGCTGTAGAATAACACAGTTGAAACACAGTTAAGGGTATTTTTCTCAACCATTTGTAAACAGAAATTTTAAAATCTTACACTTTCTCTTGCAAAAAATCAAAGAAGTACAAAACAGCTAAAATGTGTTTCTCACTCAAAAAAGAAATCCATTTCCAAAATAATTAGGCTTTCAAAAATCGTAAGTAGCGATTTATGAGAAATATCGAAAAATTAGAAGAAAAAAATAATACAAAGAGAAATAAATGTCAGTGGCAATTGAATTTGTAAACATAATTACTTCAGTAAAGAAATATCCAAGGGAATATTCAAGACAAAAAAAAATCAGGGGTCTTTTTCAAGTCGCCACTTTTCGATCTATTTACCTAATAACAGCTGCAAACAAAACGAACAAAATAGATCTATGTATTGATTGTCCTTAATCACTTTGATATTTAACTCAACAACAACTTCCATATCTACTGAAAATTCCATTACTTTTGTCTAATTATCTACTTTGTTACAACTGCTTCAAACAAGCCGTAAACAATCCGACTGCCAAAAACAATATATAAGTAAAAGTACTTGCGGTAAAACAGGCTCGGCAACAGGGATATCTGGGACAAATACTAAGGGAGGTGGATAGTGTCGTGGATCAACGTCCATAAAAACATCTTCTATGTACCCTGCAAAACGGAACAGAGAAAAATTAGATTTTACGCAGTCTGATTCTTAAGAGTTCTAAGAAATATTATCCTACACAGGCAAGCTCTAAAAATGCCTGCTGAAACCTAAGAATGTCTCTTTGTCTCTTTCCTATCAGCAATTCAACTTACGTTGTAACCGACTAGAAGACATACTCAGAATTACTTTCTGCCGTCAACAGAATGATGAATTTAATGTTGCGAAATTCAAGTGTAAAACGAACACTTGGAGATTTCACCAATTATAGTAATGGTGAACTAGCATTTGCAACAGCAACAGAACTAGCAAAAGCTAAAAAGTAAACTAGTAAATAAAGGAAGAAATCCATAGATTAAAAATAATACAGGTTGTGACAGGATTTCCCTTTCCAACTACACTAACACAGTCACTACTCCTTAATACAAAAAGAGTAGTTAGTGATAAGTGTTACATAAACATTTATAAAACTAATCAATCACAAATAATAAGTCTGTCATAAGTTACCGAAAAAAAGAACGGTTAGCTATAACGATCAATAAAGCGATAATAATAAACGCTAAACAAGTTAAATAGCCAGTTAACCAGATACAGTTTTACTGCAAAATGTGATCAAACACACAGCTATAAAATAAAATCCCGATTAATATATGCAAGCAGAACAGTTTCCGGATTGTCTCTGTAAATGATGACCACATGAAGGTTGAAAACTCTTGCTCGGGCTCCTATAGGATTCTGATTACTCTGACTTATTCAAAGAATGATACTCTAACTTCAACCCCGAGAACAGCCCTATGACATGTGAAGAAAACTGAAGGTTCTTAAGCCTTTAAAATTTACAAAAAAAATTTTCTTAAACTGAGGAGCTTTCAGTACTAAGGACTGGTAATGAAAAAGTAATTTAAACTTTCACCACAATGAAATCAATAAATCGAACAGTGATCAATCGCACTGTCCGTTTGGTTGTTCTTCCAGAGTTTCCGAAACTCAAAAAAATTTTTGTCTAACTAAATAACTTCAAAGTTAGCGGCCTTTTTTGATCATAAATTGCGTGTAGAACGCCTAAACTACTCAAATCCCAT